CTTCTACATTGATGAGTCAAATCCATCTAGCACATTTTTTAAAAAAGATTGATTTATTTATTTGAAAGTCAGAGTTACACAGAGAGAAAAGGAGAGGCAGAGAGAGAGAGAGAGAGAGAGAGAGGTCTTCCATCCATTTGTTCACTCCCCAATTGGCTGCAATGGCCGGAGCAGAGCCGACCTGTAGCCAGGAGCCCGGAGCTTCTTATGGGTCTCCCACACAGATGCAGTAGCCCAAGGACTTGGGCCATCTTCCACATTTTTCCCAGGCCACAGCAGAGAGCTGGATCAAAAGAGGAGCAGCTAGGACTCGAACCGGCACCCATAGGGGATGCTGGCACTGCAGGCGGTGGCCTTACTTGCTATACCACAGCGCCAGCCCTGTCATCTAGTATAATTTAACAGTAAATTTTATTTATGAGCATCTTGTGTTCCTATTGTTTCCATATTTATTCAGTTTCTTTCTTTACTTACTGGGGGAGGGGGGTTTAACCATCTCCTGAGTTACTCAATTCTCACTACAGAGAACTTAGTGGCCTGTAAGCATAATCCTGTAAGGTGCATCAAGAATGCTGTTTGAGGAGTAGGGTGCTAGGCAGGTGTGTGAATTGTTAGTACATCTTTGAGTGCCAGTGTATGGTTATTGTATTTGAGGCATGTGGATAAGAATTTTGAATTCAAACTTTCCTACAATTGTTTTAAAATATTTATTTTATTTATTTGAAAGAGTTACAGAGAGAGGTAGAGACACAAAAAGAGAGAGATCTCCTAGTCTTCCATCTGCCAGTTTACTCCCTAAATAGCCACAAGCTGAGCCAGAGCTGAGCTGATCCAAAGCCAGAAGGCAGAAGCCAGGAGCTTCTGCTGGGTCTCCCATGTGTGTGCAGCAGCCCAAGCACTTGAGCCATCCTCCGCTGCTTTTGCAGGCACATTTGCAGGGAGCTGGATTGGAAGTGGAGCAGGCAGGACACAAACCAGCACCCATATGGGGTGCCAGCACTGTAGGCGAGGGCTTTAACCTTCTGTGCCACAGCACTAGCTGCCCTATGATTTTCTTGACCATCCATAAATATTTTCAGGGTTTTGTTAATACTAATTTCATTTAAAGTACAGGATTACTAATGGAGGCTTAATTTGTAAAGGAAGAGTTTGATATTTAAGTTGATAGAAATTATGTCTGCTGGGACCAGCGCCATGGCTCACTTGGTTAATCCTCTGCCTGTGGTGCTGGCATCCCATATGGGCGCCAGCTTCTAGTTCCGGTTGCTCCTCTTCCAGTCCAGCTCTCTGCTGTGGCCCGGGAGTGCAGCGGAGGATGGCCCAAGTGCTTGGGCCCTGCACCCCATGGGAGACCTTGAAGAAGCACCTGGTTCTTGGCTTCAGATCAGCTCAGTGCCAGTGTAGTGGCCATCTGGGGAGTGAACCAATGGAAGGAAGACCTTTCTCTCTATCTCTCTCACTGTCTATAACTCTACCTGTCAACTAAATAAAAAAAGTAAAAAAAAAAGAAATTATGTCTGCAAATATTCTACTTTGGAGATTGGGTAATTTTACTCACTGTATATTGACTCAGGCTAGCAGACAATTGCCCACTTTCCTTCTGAACTGTGGAGGCTGCTTTCTTCACTTTACTTATGACAAAGAATCTTGTCCTGAGCAAGCTAACCAGGGCTGCATTTCAAGTACATTTCCCTCTTTGCTCAAATCCCTGTCATTTGCTATGAATAAGTCTATTCAAGGGTCTGCCCCTGATGGGGCTACTTCATTCCTAAGTGCACTGAGAAGTAGTTGATGGACAGAGACAAAAGGATATGAAGGAAATGAAGAGAATGAGAAGAAATAAGGCAAGAATAATGGAAAGACTGATCCCGAAGGAAGCAGGAAGCTGCAGAATGAAAGGATGAGGGAGGGGGATTACGAGTGGTTCAGGAAAAGGTTGGGGAAGGGGAAAAACAGAAAGCCACACGAGAATAATTTGTCCTGAAGTTTTCTTCTTCTCAAGATGAGTTTGTAAACTGGGATTCACAGAGGAAAATGAGGGGGTTGATGAGTTGGGATTTGGAAAAATTATATCCTTTTTTTTGCTGACTTCCACCTGAAAATGAAATAAATCTGAAATAAATTGGCACTAAACTTATTTAATATTGTAATGAAATAAATGCTGCTATTATGTGAGAATATTTTTACTTTGTTTCAATATAATCAATGTCCTCTCTAATCCTATGAACTTATTTTATACATTTAAAAATATCCTGAGCAGGGGTTCCTAGGGTTCACTAGATAGCAGAGGGGTCCATGGTGCAGAGAAGTTAGTGATCACTGGTAGACAGTGCAGCCTCCCACATCAATGGCTTACATTTATGCTCCTGGTCTGCAGGGGAGCAGGGCTTGAAGCGCCGACCTCAAACAACCTTGTTTGTACAGATATGAACTTCATGTGTTCTATGACATGAGAAAGGTTGGGAGCACTGCTGTGAGTTACTTGTGCTTTGACTTTTAATGCTGGTCTTGCAAAGACACTACACTTTCCCAACTTATATAGGAAGTTATCTTTTTTTTAAGTTGAACAATTCCACATTTTTATAATTTTAAATTGACAGATGACATTGAATTTATTTACTGTGTACAGCATGATACATTGAAATATGTATTTCCTTTACTTAATTAACATGTATTACCTTACACTGTTTACACATTAGTGGTGTAAACACTCACATCTTCTCTCTTACAATTTTTCCAGAATGTGATGTATTCTTAGCTAGAGTCACTACATTGTATGATAAATCCAATTTTAGATATTTGGCTTTTTCGATATTATTTTTGACTGACACATCATAATTACACACATTTATGGGGTAGAATGTGATGTTTCAATTTGTGTGTACATAGTGTAAGGATGAAATCAGGGTAACTAACATATATCACCTTAACATTCACCATTTCTTTATGGCTAGTACATACAAAATCCTCGCTTTGAGTTATTTTGAGATACACAATGCATTACTGTTGACTGTATTCACCCTACTGTGCCATAGCACACCAGAACTGTTCCTCCTGTCTCTGTGTAACACCACACCTGTTGGCCATTCTCTCTTCTTCCCCCTTTCCCTTTACTCTCTCCAGCCTCTGGTAGTAACCATTTTTTACCAAATTTCTATGAAATCAAATATTTTAGATTGTACATATGATTGAGATCATGCATTATTTATCTTTCTGTGCTTGGTTTATTTCACTTAACATAATGTCCTCCAGGTCCATCCACATCACAAATGACAAGATTTCATTTTTTTTTTTTTGAGGCTTAATAGTGTTCCCTTGTGTATATGTACCATCTTTTCTTTATCTGTTCATCTACTGGTGAACAGTTAGGACTATTTTGACTACTTTTTTTTTTTTTAAAGATTTACTTATTTGAAAGAGTTACAGAGAGAGAGGGGGATCTCCCATCTACTGGTTCACTCCCCAGATGGCTGCAATGGCCAGAGCTGAGCCAGGCTGAAGCCAGGATCAAGGAGCTTCATCTAGGTCTCCTACATGGGGCCCAAACACTTGATCCATTTTCTTTGCTTTTCCCAGGCCAATAGTGGGGAGATGGATAGGAAGCAGAGCATACAGGACACTAACCGGCGCCCATATGGGATGCCGACATTGCAGACGACAGCTGTCCTCGCTACACCACAATACCAGTCCCTATTTATTTATTTATTTATTTATTAAGATTATTTATTTATTTGAAAGGGAGAGTTGCAGAGAGAAAGAGAGAGAGAGAGAGAGAGTTCTTCCATCTGTTGATTCACTCCCCCAAATGGCTGCAACAGCCAGAGCTGGGCCAGTCAGAAGCCAGGAACCAGGCAGGAGCTTCTTCTGGATCTCCCTTGTGGGTACAGGGGCCCAAGCTCTTGGACCATCTTCTGCTGCTTTCTCAGGCTATAGCAGAGAGCTGGATCAGAAGTGGAGCAGCTGCAACTCGAACTGGTGCCCGTATGGGATGCCAGGGTCATAGGCAGAAGTTTAATTCCCCATGCCACAATGCTAATCTCTATTTTTAATTTTTTAAGCAACATCAATATTGTTTTCCATTAAGCTATACGAATTTACATTGCCATCTACAATGCATAAAAGTTTCCCTTTCTCCATAGCCTCACCAGCATTTTTTTTAAACAATAACTATTCTAACTGGAGGGAGGTGATATCTCAGTGTGGGTTTTCTTTGCATTTTCCTAAATGGTTGGTGATGTTAAGTATTTTGTCATATATCTGATAGTCATTTGTACATCTCTTTTTTTGGTCCATAACTGAGAAGTTATTGGTGTTGAGAATTAGTACACAAACATTTCAATTTGTACACAGTTCTTAGCATGTATACCAAAAATCTAAAAAAGCCACGGGTTGTCATTCTTTTTTAAAAGCTATCCCAGTGACTTTCCAGCTTCAAATTTGGAGGTTGCTCATCTTTAAGAAGCTATCAAGTACCAGTATCTTTGAAGGCTGCTGTTACATAAATCCCCTCCATTCTCAATTTACTATGATATAGATGGCATACTCAAATTTTCAGTCTTTCTCAGCACATTGACTTAATTATTAGGGAAACTTGACTGCCATAGCCAAAGATGTTAGAGCACACATGGTTCTGACTGAGCAATAAGTAGTGTTCTGTAGGAAACAATTCTACTAAAATAACACGGGAGAAGCAGTGAACATATTCAAGACAGATTAAATGCACAATGGAGACTCCGAATTGCCATTAAGTCTGTGTTGTGTTGCAGGATATAAAAACCACCCCCACCTATGGAATGTTAACCTGACACCCCAAGAATCAAAGCTTCCCATAATTCAATATCCCACTATTTTCCTGGTTGTACTATAAAAGAAACAACCAGCAAATGATTTCATCTCTTCTAAAAAATCACTTACACTTAAAAAATGAGATGAGGTGGTCTTCTCTCCTTCTTAGAAATGTTTCTAGAGCTACTGAAAAACTTGAATTTACAAAATCATTGCTAAAACATTCTCCCGGATTGTCCAAGAAGGGAGATAGGACCACTGATGAGACATGGTACATGATATTTATCAGACATGGCTCCCTTCTCTCCTGCTTCCTCAGAGGCTCGACTCTCCCCAGTTTTAGTTTCTCTGTTTTCTGTAGGCAGATCTATAGTTTCTTGGTCAGCTGCCTCGGCCTGTGTTACCTTTGCCCCTCTCTTCCCCCCTGCACGCATTTGTTTTTTGTCTGACCACTTAAGGTTCCCAGCTACCTTCTTGGGCTTTGTTTCCAGGTTTGCTGGAGCTGGTTTAGCCGACAACCACGCCGATCTCGTCTTAGGCTCCTCCTCCACCACCGCCCGGGCAGAGCTGACCTTCCTCTCGGGCATCTTGGCAGTGTGGAAGGTGTGAGGCAGGTGCCTGTAGATCAGTGCCAGCCGAGAGCCTTTATGAAGCTGGGCTGCCTGGCTGCAGCCGCTCCTCCTGCTGCCCAAGCTGCTGAATGTCTTTTTTTGAGAAATTTCTATTTTATTTAGGTCTTTAGGTCACTTTAAAATTGGATTATTTATTTTTTTTCTATTAAGTTGTTTGGATTCTTTATAAATTCTGGATAATATCCCCTTATTAGATGCCGCAACAATTATCACTCATTCTGCCGGCTGCCTGTTAGCTCTGCTGATTGTTTCCTTTGCTGTGCCGAAGCTTCTTATTTTGATGTAATCCCATTTGTCACTTTTTACTTTTGTTGCCTGTGCTTCCAAGATCATATCCAAAAATATTTGCCTAATTAACTTCCTGAAACATTTCCTCTATGTTTTCTTTTAATAGTTTCATAGATTCAGGGTGTCACATTTAAGTCTTCAACCCATGTTAAGTTTTTGTTTGTTTTGCATGTATGATGAGAGTTAGGGGTCGACTTTCACACTCTTCTACATGTGGATATCCAGTTTTCTCAGCACTGCTTGTCAAAGAAACTGTTATTCTTCTTTGTGAGTTCTTTTTCCTTTTGTCAGAGAATTATGTGGCAATAAATTGATGGGCTTACTTTTGGGTTCTCCATGATGTTCCATCTGTCTGTGTCTGTCTTCACGCCATTGCTAGGTGTTTTAGCTACTCTAGCTTTGTAGCATATTTTGAAGTGTGATGTTCCAGCTTTATTCTTTTTTTGCTTAAGATTGCTTTTTCTGTTCAGCACCTTTTGTGGTTCCATATGAATTTTAGGATTTTTTTTCTATTTCTGTGAAGAATAACAGTTTGATTTTATTGAATTTTAATGAAGATTGCATTGAATCTATGGATCAATTTAGGTAGTGTGCTTTTTCTTTTTTAAAAAAAGATTGGGAGGGGGAGAGAGAGAGAGAGAGAGATTTCCATCCACTGGTTCACTCTCCAGGATGATGGAAATGGCCAGGGTCAGGACAGGCTGATGTCAGAAGCCAGGTGCTTCATTCAGCTCTCCCACATGACTGGCAGGGGCCCAAACATTTGAGCCATCTTTTGCTGCTTTTCTCAGGACATTAGCAGGGAGCCGGATTGGAAGTGGAGTGGTCGGGAGTCTAGTGGGCACCCATATGGGATGCCAGGGTCACAGGTGGCAGCTTTACCTGCTAAACCACAACACTGGTCCCAGGTAGATTGTTAGGTGTTATATTTATATCAGGGTGAGAGAAGTTTATTACAGAGAGAGACAAGATTTAGAGAAACAGAATACTCTAGCAGGCTTGAGAGGGAGGTCTTCTCTGACAAGAACAAGATCATTCACTGGCCAGGGTCCATGAGGGCTTGTGAAAGGGCCTCTTTTTGGCCTGGTTTGTGGAGCAGGGAAGATGGTACACAGATTCTTCCTGAGTGTCAGAGACTCTCCTGATTGGGCATAAAGTCCACATAATTTTGATCCTGTTACTACTTATTTGATCCATGCACTTATTAATTCATAGATTTTTCATCTCATCAAGCATAATGCTAAGCATGTCTTTAAACACAGGTAGCTATAAAGGGCTGATTTCTTATCAGTGCCCCAAACTTCTGGTGAGAATTTTGGCTCAAGACTTTCTTTTCATATAGTCATTTCCCACCTTAATATAATATATAAAGTTCAATTTTCATAAATCCAGAATCACACTCTATATATTATTGTATATATTATTGGGTAATCACTAGTCTAGAAAATAGGTACATGCCAACTTCTCTTCAGTTTTCGAATAATGAAATCAAAAGACTGTAACTGGTTGGATGGTGGTTTTTTTATCGTCAAGACTCCTAGAGCCCTCTCTGACTGTATCACTTGGTGTCTGCCTTCCAACTTTTGCAGAAGGCCTTGAAGACAATGAAATCCTTTTCTCCCTAAACTTTAAGGAGCACTGATAGTCCAGTGACTACCCAGAAAGTGTCACACTCCAATGAGTAGAACTGCAGTGCAGAACAAGATCACTAACTGGCCAGCAATGACATAGTCTGTTTGCTGGTATCTAGGAGACTAGAAATTATTTGGTTTTCTTTATCTAGGCCACAGCTGTCTTGGGCCTGATTCCAATCATTTTGATCTGGTGAGGATTCTTGTTGGCAACATAAATGCAGCTGAGGAGGGGCTGTAATGACATGGTAATGACAGTGGAAATGCATTTCCTCATTTTGATCTAGGTGAATGTTCTCAGTGGTATTGCCTGATGACCATATGCTTCTCTTTCCTGCACTTCTAAGAGAGTTTCTAAAGGGATCAAAAAGTGATATTTTTTTCCTCCATTAAATTCTGGACAAAGAGCAGTTGGGAGCCAGCATCGGTTACCCCATCATATTACTGTGTATGAAAATCAATAAACAGAAAAATGCAAAGTACTCCTTTGTGTCTCCCTCCCCCCACTTCTCCAAGGAATTCATTCATCAGGAGAGGCAGTATCACAGCAGATTTGTTAGCCTAATTATGATGCATTTCCTTTTAAACAATTTGTACACAATAATTGACCAAAACTCTTCATAACAGGCTTCCCAGAGCAATTCATTTGTTCAATAAAACAATGTGAGCAATAGCTGGAGCACATTTACTTCATAATCATTTTGTTAGGGGGAAAAAAGCACAGCAGCTGCAGTTCAGGGTAGATAGCCATCAGAAACAGTTGATTTATCAAAATGAATTGATCTTGGCAGTTTCCATTCTGGGCTTACATAGAGAAACACAATTAGAATTCAGTGCTGTGCACACAGCCAGAACAATGTAATGTTGGCTCATTTTGCAGTACCATTATGGGTTATACCATAGGCAGAGGATTTAGGATTTATCCAGCCATGCAGACTAAGTCACACACCTAGATGATCAATAAATGGAGTAAAAACATTCTCTGCTCCTCTTCCCTAAGGAAAATGACAGGTCAATGCCTTCTTTTAAGTGTGGATCTCTAGCTTATTCCAAAACACAGAGCATCACTTGTAATGTAACATAGGAGTACCTGGCATGCCAGAAAAACACTGTTAAAACTGACCTTGCAAAATGACCTCCCCTCCCCCTCCCCCTTCCCAGTGGAAAGGATTATTGCTGTGACCCACCATAGGGCTGCACTTTGAGAAAACCCTCAGTCAATCAGCGCATATCGTCCTGGTTTTTAAGCATTGACCACAGCCCCTTACAGCTGCATAAGTTCCCGACTTCTGCCCTTTCCCAGTCCACACTCTCTCCCTTCTTAAAGACTGTGCTTTGATTCATTTGTTTTAGCAGCTGCCTCCTTATAGCACATGCCTCCCAGATACACAGATTACATCGATAACTGGCCATCTGTGCTCGACAGTCGTCTGCATCAGCTCCAAATCTTCTTGGCTTCTCTTTCCAAGCTCTCAGTGGGATACATGACCCTCAGGTGCTGGGAGGCAGTCAAAGATGCAAAGAGCTCTGGATGACACACAAGGGATGTGGCGCTGAATGACTCCATGAAAGAGACCTGTATGGGACTGTGATAATTTCTTTAATGTAGCAACATTTTGCAAATATTGCAGACTTATTTTCACATTACCTGTCTTGTTTTGCCTAAAAGGAGGTGGATTTTCCAGGCCAATGCCTCTTTGTTGTCACCAGTAAGCTTTTAGGGTCCAAATCAGGCTCTCCCACTGACAGGAAGGCTGCTCAGCTGAATATATCATTTGCTTCCAACATTTCCTCATTCTGGAGACTTTGTGGTCTGCCTACATTGCCATGGGTGCCAAGCCTATTCTGTGGGGACCAACTGGGGAGCTCGACAGAAAGACAATGGACTCTATCACATGCAAGGAAAATCATAGTCATCGGGTTAAGAAAAAATAAACTACACCCCAATATCCCACAGTGGAAAGGCATCGGCTTGCTGCAAAGCATAGGCATTGAAGACCTAGGCTTAGACCCTGCATAGATATGGTATGATTGAAAGGAATTTCTTGAAGGGCCAAATCTGCTCAGAAACCCTACGCCCTGTCTTGGCATCCATTCTACTTAGTTCAGACAATATGAGCTCCCGGATCTGCCAAGTTGTTATGATGAATGTGTTCATGAACCATACCGTAATGGAAATCAGCTAGTATCTGAAACAAGCAGAGGAAGGACTCGTCATCTGCTTTGTACATTATTACTTTGCTTTCTAAGTGAGAAATAGCCATTAGTGCACCCTTCCATGTGCAGAAGGCAGTCTGATGAAATGAATGGTTAGGAGGCCGGGGAGTCTGGAATTGGAGTCACAGCCGGCTTCCAGAGCTAATCTGCAATTCCAACCTCCCCTTTGTTCATGTTTTTAGGATAAGTAGCAAACTGGGATTGGCAACTACTGAGCACTGAGTTCCTTTCTTTAAACGTCTTCAGATCATGTGTTTTCAACGTTTGTCCCAGTCCCCTGCAGTCAGTTAGTGGCTCTTGTTGCCCTTGGATTCCCTGCATTCCTGCCTTTCCCCAAATTAAAATAAGCAGTGTCCACCAGAGGATGGCTAGAAGGAGACACAGGCTTGGGACAGAGCCTGGAGCAAAGCGCACTTGGTAGCTGTGTGGTATTCGATATGTCCCCTAGCCTTCTGGAAACACAATGTACTGCTCTGAAGAGTGAGAACATTTTTTGACAATCAAATTCCATTCGTGACTCTTACACAGAAAAACCAAACAATTCTGAATGCTTCCAGTACACACGACAGGAATCCATCAGTGTTTGTAAACACAAGATACGTGTGTCAGCATCAACATGATATAAATGGGAGACATCCATTTGGGGAGGAAGAACAAAGTCATCCCTTTCTCGTGCCATGCCAGTTTAAAGCTTCGCTGTTCCCCAGGAATTCTGAGGATGATGTTACTTAACATTAGAAAGAATTGGACATAATTGGGCGTTTCATGGTGGCATCAAGCTCTGTAGCATGTGAGAAAGGCTATCCGCCGTGATGTGCT